TTTAACTCTGATTTGACTTTACTTTTCAACTTCAAAGTATCGACTTTTGGGCTTTTCACCTTTTGCTCCCCTACAAACAGGTCCTTTTCAGGTTTTTCTAAGGAGGGATCTTCTACAAAGACATTTTTGCCCTTTGCTTCCTTGCAGTTTGCCTCATTGGGGCACTTTTTGTTTTGAGAAGAAAGTTGGAGCTCCGGTGCCCTTGCAGTCAGCTCATCACGCAAAGATTCTGTCAGCGTCACATCCGTTGGTTCATGTAATTCCTCAGGAGTTTCTAGTTTTTGGTGCCCAGCTCCAAATACTGCTGGAGGACTTGCTTGCCATTCACCTAATGCTGCTAGGGTCTCTATCAGCTTGTTGTCTAGCAGAAGCAGCCTGTGTCCATTCTGCACATTAATGTAGCTGTGAGTCATGAGTTCAAACAACAGCTTTTCCCTATGACTTGGTAAGCCCTCTGCTTGGCCCTGGCTGCCCAGCAGACCTGCCATTCTGGGACTTATGTTCACTTTGCTTCGTTCTGCAGAGTCTGCTAATTGCATGTGGGGCATCACATCAGGTATACAAATTGACTTTAAGTTATTGACGAGATCTCTGTCTAAGATGCCATTTTCTATTGCTTCTTCCCAAGATTGAATCTCTGTAGTTGCCGGTAGAAACAGAGCCTTGATATGCTGTCGGCCACTAAGGATTTTATGAGCTAGTTCAGAAGACACAATACCTTGCTCCAGGGCACCTGTAATTGGCAGGATCTCTCCAGATTCTGGCCACAGAAAGCCCATGACTGACCAAAGGGACTCCAGAATCACTAGGGCAATCTTAGTAGCTACCAGATCTTTGCTTACTGCTTCATCTATTGTCAGTCTATGCCCAGTGACGGGGTCTATGATGCCTCCTGTCTGAAGCTGCCTTATGAGAATAGCACAAGCCATATCTTGGTCAATCAAATTATGTCTCACAGCCTCATCCACTGTAAGTCTGTGTCCTGTTCTTGGATCCACTATGCCACCAGCAAAAAGCTGAGCTTCCAGCAGTCGGACAGTGACCTGCCTATCGATAAGCCCTTCCTGAACTGCACGGAAAATGCTAACCTTCCGGCCTGATTTCAGGCTTACCATTCCCCCTGCCAGTTGCTTGACAGGCAGCAATTTCAACCCTGATTCTTGGTGGACAATGCATCTCTGCATCAGATCCAACAAACTGATTTTCTCAGCTGTGTTGGGATCTATTAAATTCTTGGATGATCTCAGGTGAGACTCAAACACTGAATGAAACTGGGCAGAAATGAGGCCTTTCTGGAAAGCCTCTTCTAGGTTAACACAGTTCTCATTAGAGAGGAGACTGAAACCTCCAGTTGCCAGGTGAGCTTCTAAGATCTTCAGTCCAACTCTCTCACTGATTATTTTCTTTTCAATTGCTTCCACCACAGAAAGAGGACCTGTGTTCCCAGTGAGCCTGCTTACTAAGGACAGGGCATCCTGTGGCTCTTGGAGCTGCTGGTACATCTGGGGGCTAATGAGGTTTCTAGCTAGGCCCTCTTCCAAAGAGAGGTTTTCTCTGGTCTCAGGGGCAATGAGGCCACATGTGATAAACTGAGATTCCAGGAGCACACAGCCTGTGTCTTGGTCAATAAGGCCCTTTTGCATGGCTCTGAAGATGGGAAATATCTCCACTGTGCCTAGGTCAATCACCCCAGCAACTGCTCTGCAATCCTAAAAGAAAAAAAGAAAAAAAAAAAATCAGAGAAGCAGAACTACAGAAAAGAGCCAAAGACCTATAATCTGTCAAAATCTGGCCATAGAAGAACCCAGCCTCAATGAGTGCCCACATGTAGGAGACATTCTGAAGCCTGGCAGTATTAATGCTAAAAAAGAACTTTTCTACACTACAGAACATTTAACATGGCCAGAAGTTCACTGATTACTTGAGGGATGGTTGCATTAAGCATATCTAAGGTGGTAAGCTCTATAAAGTAGCAAGCAGTGAAAGTGAGAGGAAAGCTATTTCTAAGGCTAATTTTCCACAAAAGTTCTTACAGACACATACCAGTTCCCCAATAGTGAGAAATCAACCCTTTGAGGCAACTTCTCAGTGCTGCCATGCAGAGGACTTCCCAGGTAGTGCATCACTGCTGATGAGGGTAGCAGAACAGGCCCACAGGTGCAGGAGACTGCCTGAGGCGTCAAGCCACATGGCAGTGGTGAACCCCATAAATGGGGCTGTGAAGACTACTCAAGCTGCTGCTTACACCTGGGGCAATCACTCTCAGTGGTCAAAGCTAACATCTCCCAAAAGCTGGTTTAAATTATTCCTGGGCATTGCAAGTTGAAAGTCAAGAAAGGAAGAGACTGGGGTCTCTTGCTCTGGACCCACCAACTAATTTTCTTTGGGGTCAGACCAGTACAACCACGATAATTATAGCTACCACTCGTAGAAGACTTAATTATTTACTGAGGGCTTAATATAGTCACTGAGCACTGATATTCAATCCTCAGAATGATCCCATGACAGCAATTATTTTCATCTTTAGTTGCATGGAGGAAAATGAGGCCCAAGAGAGGTGAAGTAATTTTTCCAGGATGACAAGGGAGGTCTGACTGTAAATCTGGTGCTACTGCACTGCCTCCCCAGGCAGAGCTGCAAGAGCCTCACGGACAAAGACAGCAGAGTTGTAGTGAGTAGTTCTGAGTAGGAGTGAGGGCCTCCAGTCAGCGAATGAGGCAAAGCTTATTATGCACATTGTCAAAATTACTTTTGCAAAAACAGAAAAAATTCTAAAGCAGCTCCTAAAGAATTCCCATTTTGAAGCCTCATGTCACAGAATGACGTCTTCAGAGGTTAATGACCCAGAGCCCTAACACTCAGCACACTGCATCACTAGATTAGTCTCCAGCTCTTCTTGTTCCCTTTCATTATCTTCACCCTCTACAGATGGTTTTATCCATCCCTCTGGACCTTTACTTAACTCTTTAACTTATCCAAGGAGCACCTTCCTGCCTGTTAAATAATGCATTTCATTCCTACTTCAGGAAGAAGTACGTACTATAACAACGGGCACTTTGCCCATGCAGTGTCCATAAATATTTGATGAGTAAGTGGATTACCATTAAGGCACCCTGAAAGTCATTAACTGCTTTCTCCCCAGATTTTAGAAACACGCCCCGAGGAGCTTGAGCCGGTAGCTAGGATGCATGGGAGATGCAGTGGGCGGCGGTGAGGCCGGCCTGCCTCACACACCGTCTCTGTGTGTGCTCAGACAGCAAGAGATCGGATAGAAACCCCCACACTATTTACAATACATTTGGTATTGTCCACCTACCCCTCCCCCCTCAAGTTTGCTTTCTGACCTAGAGCGAGACTTTGTCCCCTTACAAAATCCACGTAGAGACTATTCAGAAACAGAAAATATGAGTAAGGAAAACCTTCTTTTGGGAACTCTGGACATCTTTTGTGAGACTCCTGGTCTCAGAAATACCGACACTGAGGAAAGGCCTGGGGTCTAGCCAAAGAGGAAAACCACATTGTTCCTTCTGACACCTCTGAACTGAGGACAGGCAGGAAGCTGGGAAGTAATCCAGACAAATCCATCTCAGTCCCATCGAACATGGGCTGTCTGACCTACACAAACGGAGACAGGGAGGGGACGAGAAGACATAAAAGGCGTCTACTTACCGGCTCGCGGCGCGCCTCGGCAGAGAAGAGACAGAGCCTTACGGAGCAGCGCAGCCGCACCGCACACAGTGTAAGCTTGGTGTTAGCGTCCAGCATGCGACTTTGTTTTTTGCAAAAAAGAACCCCAAACAGGTCGTCCTCTTTTCCCTTTGTGCATTTGTGCTTAAACTCCAAAGGGTTAGTGAAACTTGTAAGCAAGGATGTCAGTTAATCAGAACAATACTTCACATGAAACACACAAACGGTGCAGGGACACATCATGCTCAATGAGTGTGCTCAGCGGCTCATCTGTCTTTTTTTCCTTTTCTCCCCCTTTTTAACCTTTCCAATGAGAACTGGATGTTCTCAGCAAGCAATTGTTAAAACTTTTCACATACTCCCTTATATGGTGAAGCAACACGCCACTGGCCGTGGGTTACCTTACACAGAGAGACTGCGACACCAGCACGTTCTTTTGCTCTGTCTTGTGGTTGTTACAACTCTAGCTCCTGCTGCTTAAAGTTCATATCCAGGGCCAGAGTCAACCTATATTTCATCTGAGTGTCATTTTGAGAATCATCTTGACCAAATCTGATTGTCACATGAGCTTAAATTTTGGTCTGCTCCACATAAGATGGCCATTGCTTCACAACATAGGAAATAAGCAGGCAAACACAGATATATCCCGGAGACACATGGATATGATATGATACGTTCACACACACACACACACGCACAAATATCTAGGAAGAGCTTAGAACAATCAGCAGGAACTTGAACAACTTCTGAATGGTCAGGAGATGAACACGGGTGGGAACTAATACAGACGCCACATGACGGGTGACCATGGTGAGGGGAGCCAGCGTCTTAGTCAGTACAGCTAATCCACAGTTTGCTTTGAAAATTAACATTTCTCTCTCTCTCTCTTTTTTAGTATTTATGGAAAAAAAAAGTATGGAAAGAAAAGGCTCATGCTTTTTCTTCCCAATATTCAGAAAATTTGGCTGTCAACTTTGGAATGGCAATGCCACAAAGGGGTACTCTTACTGTCCAGTGGCCAGCAATAACACAGAATTTATGTTCTTCTTGACGGTTACGTGTCACAGAAGGCAGGTAACAAGGGCAGTGGGCCAGGTCTCTGGGGGTAGCTGTACGTGCCTTCTAGGGCTTTTCACTGACCAACACATCGTGGGCCCCCAGGCAAGAAACACAAGACAAATGGTTGCTAAGGTGAAGTTAAAACTTAAGTCACAGTGGTCATGGAGCTAGTGGTCGTGACTCTCAATCGCAAAGCTGCTTTCATGCCAGGTGAAAGCAGCCTCCCGACACCTGGAGAGCAAAGCTAAAAGTACCTTTTGTTCTGTCTGTTGAGCTAACTGGCTCTGGAGTTGTTGAAGCTGGTTTGCTGAACCATCACAAAGGTCATGGTAAGTTTTATTCAGGGCATCCAACTGCTCAGATATCTGTTCCTTCTCTTTCTCGGAAAGCCTGAAAGATGAAGCATTAAAGCTGATAAAAACAAGCATCCCCAAACTCTCCTCTATTGCTTCAAATCATGACTTCTCCACCTTGCATGGTGGATTCTTCTGTCATTGTGAACTCTCTGGCATCTAGCTCAGAGTCCCTCTAGCTACATCGGGTCACGTGATGTCGATGATATTACCAATTGTCTCACGTTACGCTCTATGCTTATAGTTCCGTAACCTCAACCCATATCCCTTCTGCACCACGTCAGCCCCACCCACATGTGGCAAACTAGTACCCTCTATCATCTAAACATTTAAACTTCAAGAATCCACTATTTGGTTGTAACTTCTGATGATAACCCTGCCTTTCCCATTTCCTACATCTATTTCCTTTTTTAACTGAAATACTCTAAACATGCAAAAGAGGATACACTCTCACTTATCCACTACCCATCTGTCCAGTCCTCGCCAAATTTTAGTAATTTGCAAGATTTGCTTTAGATACTCTTTTTAGAAATAACCTAAGTTTAGCGTGTATTTGTGACTAACCCCATTCTCTGTATCTCCTAGAAGTAATTGCCATCTTGAAATCTTGCAATTTGCCTCTCATTCCACATAATGTTTTGGGAATGAGTCCTACGACTCGCGTTTTAACAGCCCTATACCTTCCTGAGGTTTCTGGGGGATTCCTTGACTCCTGAGGGTCACTTCAGAGCCCAGACCCCCATGGCCCATCATTCTAGTCATTTACTAGTCTCTTGCATGCTCTCCTCACTAATCCAACAAAACCCCAGCCCCAGGTCACTCACCCCCCGGATGGCTCACTCTCAGGAAGGCTGCCAGGTGTAGCCACGCTGAGAGGAGGGGAGGGAAGGCACCACACGCTGAGAGGAGGTAGGGAAGGCACCCCACGCTGAGAGGAGGGAGGGAAGGCACCCCACAGCCACTAGGAACAACACCATGGTTTGCTACCGTCTAGTGAACTCTGATGCTTCATTGCAATTACCGTGGCAACTGGCAGGCAATCCTCTTGTCGCCCTCAGCACTTCTCTAATTCACTCTGCCTATTTCAAAAATGAAAATATAATCCACCAGGCACTAATTTGCTTACTGTCTGGCTTCCCTCCTAGAATAAATACCTGCATCCATACGTTTCCCTCAAATCTCAGAGGAAAAGCACTGCTAGCTCCAGCTGAAGGCTGTGCTTTCTCTACAAAATCAGCTCCATCCTCCCCACATCCTTGGGGCCACCTCTTATAGGTACTTCAATCTCGTTCTGCCTTCTGGTCCTTGACAGTCTAACCAGAAAGTTACAACTGGCCAAATTTGACAGACACCTCTCAGTCTTAACCCTTTTGCAACGTCTGACATTTCCTTCTTTGTGAGCTCTGTTCTCTCCTGGCTTTTGAGGTTTCAGTTCTAATTTTCCTTTTACTCCTCTAGAGCTTCCTTTGCAGGCTGAGAGCACTGAGTAGCCCAGCAAGCTAATCCACTCTTATGGCTTCTACTATGCTGGTGATTCACTATTCCATCACTTTAGGTTTCTCTCGTGGCTTCTAAAATTTACACCTACAGCTGCCCGCTGGGCGCCTCCGTAAGAACCACGACAGGCCAGCGTTCCCACCACACACGCCGCACCCCCTTCTCATGTCCTGTGGGCACTCCCATTCCAGTGTCTGAAGTGGAAGCTGAAGTCTTCTACCTCGATGTACTACTCCTGCATTGATGCAGAGCCACTGGCTTTGCCAGAATCCTGGGAGTTGTAGCTGATTAATTTCTTTTTCCTGCCAAACCTTGCAATGTCATCACCTTTGTATCTTTTTGTCTCTGCCATCCCCTGTTATCTCTTGCCTGTACTATCAGAACAGCTTCTTACCTGGTCTCTCAGCCTCCACTCTTGTCCCATGTTAACTTATTTTCTGTAAAACATTTCTAGAAGTCTATTCATGTTTAAAATCCTTCCCAACACCCAACAAGGTAAAATGCCAACTCTTCAGCACCTTCTACAAGACTCTTTATAAACTTGCTGCCCTGAAACATCTGCCTCAATACTCTACATGATGCTATGCTCTAGCCAGGTACATCAAATCCTCTGGTGTTAGTACTCACTTATGACCATGCTTGGCCAAGAAGATCTGTGAGGTTTTAATAGCCTCAGAGACTTGCTCTCTCTTGGTGGTCAGCTCCTCTGCCAGAACCTAGTAGAAATAAGGAGAAAAGGTTCAGAATCCAAAAATAAGATATTTCAAATAAAATAAAATAAAATAAAATAAAATAAAATAAAATAAAATAAAAAGTATTTAAAATACTTTTAAAAAATCCTACAGAAAACCCTCTTAGGCCATATTAGTATTACCAACAAACTACATACATATGATTCATTTAAAAAAGAAAAGTACAAATAAGATGACTTACATTTAAGATCTGGAAGTTAACTTTTACTGAGATAAGAACTGCATGGCCCATGTGACTTGCATTATTCCACCAAACACATTATCACATACTATTCTATCCAGAAAGACACAGCCAGACCTTCTACTCACCTGCTGATCTGAAATAGCTTTCTCGATGTCTGTTGAATCTTTGGTCTGGGATGAGGTAGCTTTGCTTTGGGTATTCTTTGCTAGGGTAGAAACCCAGCCCAAAAGTTCTTTAACCTTCTCCACATGCTCCTGTTTTTCTTCTTCTACCACTTTCTAGAGTAGGAAATAGAAAATAAATATTTTGGGCATTATCTTATTAGACTGACCTGACATCAGATTTTTTAAAATATATGTGAGAAGATGCCTACTCAGTGGGTACTAGTATAATCCCAACATAAACATAATCTACCCAGTTTATGGCCCTGCTCACAGGTGCCTAACTGTGTGATAATAATAGCTAAATTCATTCTCTCTAAGTGAGCCTTTTCCTAAAATGCAGTGTTTTCTGCATAATGGACACACAATTTCTTGATCTAAAAGCCCATCATAAGTGAAATCACGCAAGTCCGTGATTTGATCCCTTGACAAAAATTCCATGACCAGGGTGTGGAGAAACCTAACCCAGTGTTCGCTGAGGCACAAGGTTTCAGAAGTTGAGCTCGCAGCGTTCACGGCAACTTCACACAGCATGACTACTGCAAACTGTGAAAGCTGACTGTGCATGATCAGTTTTGCGAGGTTTAGCCCTGGGTTCTAGATGCCATCAGACCTGGGACCCAGCTGTCCTCACCTCCTCCTCCTCCAGCCGCCGGAGTGCATCGCTGATGTATTTCACATGCTGAGTTGTCAGGGTCACCAAGGCCGTGTAGCGAGTCCTCAGGTCCATGAACTATGGATTAAAAAAGGTAATTTAGATCAATTACCTGACATGAAAGTCAATTTAAATAGTTGAGACTAAAAGAAAGTTCACAAAGTCACAAGCACAACAGGAAAGTTGAGCCCCAAGTCACTGTATGGCCAGACGCAGGTGCCCTACGCGGAGGACAGGGCGTGTGCCCACCCCGCGCTCTCACCTCTTGTGTGATGGCGTCGGAAGAAGAGAGCATGCGGCGGCGCTTCCCCGGGGACTTCTGCTGTGATTCCACAAAGGCCTTATAGGTCATCAGCTGCAATTCATAGTCCTAGGGAGAGAAGAAATCTCATTTATTAATGGCCCGTGAGAAATGACTGAAAATGGGAGAAAACTTCATTACACATGAACATTATAGAAGCTTCACACCCAGTGTCCCTGAGTAACGTCCCTCTGTGCTCAGCCACCGCCTGTAACGACCGACTGTGGCTGCCTTCACAGCGGAGGCGGAGCTGAACAGCTGTGACAGAAACAGCATGGCCTGTAGTTTTCTACCTGGCCCTTTCCAGGACAAGTTCACAGCTTATAGTAGTCTGTGTGAGCACCACATCTCCTACGACAGGGAAATGCTGTAGTTCTACTGTGTGACAGGTGTGGGCTGTGAAGCCCAGTATGAGACAGGTAAGAAGGTAAGAAGTATATCAGAGGCTAAAAACCAAACGTTCTGTTTTTGACACAGAGGCCCACGGATCATTCGAAAGGCGTTTCCTCAAATCACTGCTGCTGTCTGGTACCACTCTGTGCATCCCTAAACGTGGGGCCATAAGAAGCACACATCTGTATTAACTGAGTGAGGTCACCCTCTAGCAAAAGAGCTTTCCTACAGTGAAAAGGCAGATTTTTTTCCTAAGCTGGAGATCATTTATGTTCCTTTTGGGATATGGTGGAGTTACCTTTACAATAGTGGAGTACTGCTGGGAATATTTTTGACACTGGTCCAGTTTTGTCTGATTTCTCTCAATTTCTGCAAACAGATCCTAAGAACCAACATATCACAACAACATTGACATTATCATCACAGAAATAACAGAGCTCTTATTAGATTCTATGACAGGGTTTCAAACCTTAGTAGTCTCATAACCATCTGGAAGTCTGGATGGAACAGGAGTTGCGGCCCTACCTCCAGAGCTCCTGTCTCAGTAGGTTTGGGTTTGGGTCTGAGGACCCAGATGTCAACACATTTCCAGTGATGATTATACTGCTAGCGTGGGGTCCATTCTGTGAAAGTCACTTATCTAAGTACTTTATATGTATCAGTTAATTTAATCCTAAAAACAGTGACCTTGGGTGAGACAGGTTGAACAAATAATGAACTATATCTATTTTACTGATAAAGAAGTAGAAAACTGAGGTCATGTCAGTTTCTAAAGTTCTCACCATAAGTGAGCAAGCCAGGACTGGAATAGAGGCAATCTAATTCCAGACTTCATACTCTTAATCACAAAATGACGAATTTTTTAATTGATGAAATGAAAAGCACACGCCAAAACACCAAATAAAAGCTGTTTTGAGTGAAGTTATTTTCTATCACTAGCAACTTTCTCTGAATTTTCACTCCTCCATATTCTAATCATAGTAAAATAAAATGTAACATCAGAAACAAAATAAAGCACAATCATTTTAAATAGTCCATCTCGTGACTTCAATACACAGTCACAGAAACTCAGCATGAGAAAACATCCTTCAGGCATCTGGCTAATTTGGCTAATCTGGCTAATCTGGCTAAAAGCAACCCCCCTTTCCAGGAAAGAGGGCTTGGAATGTCTAGCCATTTGGGAGAATTGAAGAGCCAGAATATCATCTCTTCAGATGACTAGCTGCCCTCGAAATCCACGGTGCACTGCCGTACCCACCGTCTGCTGGCTGAGCTGCTCGGACAGCACTCTGCTGTCCTCTGCTTGGCCCGGCTTCATCATCTCCTGCTGCGCAGTGGTTTCTTCAATCCACTTGATGAGCGTTCCGTGGCAGGCTCGGTAATCTCCTAGAACTTCCTGGATACTTTCTAACTCAGATTGGCTGGAGGTGCAAAGGAAAATGGCTATCAGGCATCTTTGTATGGATTTAAGAAAGTGGGTCAATTCCCTCTGTAACTTATGGCTCCACTTGGGCTTGATTACAGGTTATTTGGGGGAAAGAGCAACGCCACACGGAATGGAGTAAACTATATACGTAGCCAGTGTCCCACTGGGTGAAGACCTGAGTTGAAACCAGTTGTGCTCTGCCCTGGAAGCTGCTTCGTGGCCTGGTATCCTGTGATAATCCCTGTCAATGTTCCACAAGGATCTCGAGGACAGCTGGGCTTGCCAACAAGGCTGTACTGGTGGTGCACTCCTGTCCCCCAATGGCAGAGAGCAGTCAGGGTACCACAGCCATGATTCATTCACAAATCACTAACTTCTTGGGGAGGCGAGAAGTGGGAATGAGGAGGGTGGGGAAAAAAAAAGCTTTGTACTGATATCTTCAATAACAGTTTTTTAAACCACTTCTGTTAGTTTGACCAGCCTGGCATAGTAACTGAAGTATAGAGAATAGATCCAAAATTACAAGAGTTGTTGTAATCCCTTTTCCTAGTCCTTTGCTACCTAGTCTTGCCTCACAAAGGCATTTCCTGCTTTCCCATTCAAAGCAGCCCCAGAAGCAGGATCCCAAGCAACAGAGCTAGAAACCACTGAAAACAGCAAATGAAAGTGGAAGCAATACTGCAAAGCGTCATCATGAAGAATGGCTCACATTCTGATTCAGAGCTGTTAAAGCAAGATGAGACCCAGTTCTCCCTCAAAGATCCCAGGTGCCCTTTCCTGTGTGTATTCCAAGAGATCACTGCCATCAGGCTGAAGTACATGAGCCCTGGCACACAGGAGCGGCTTTGCTAAGAGGACATCTCTGCTGACCCAAAATCTAGTTTCGGGTCTGCTTTGGGGTTGGAGGGCCCATGTTGCTTATCTTCCCCAAGATGTGTACTGTCATTTAATTTCTATCCCTCTCTATCAAGTCCCATTTTTATATAAGAATAGAGATCCAACTCTTATTTTGGTTTAAAACCTTGTCCCTGGAACCTAGTAAGAGAAAAGGGCAGAACCACTGCTCACCGGGTTTCAAGCTGGGCCATGACCCGGTGCCAACGCTCCTGTAGCTGGGAGCCTTTCTCCTGAAAGCGCTCCAAATCCAGGTTCCGCTCTGGGATCAGCCGGCTCAGCTGGTCTGCCACTACCTTGGCCTTGGCAAGCTCCTCGTCCAAGACCGAGAACACCAAATTCTTGTCTTTCACATCATGAAGCCAATGCTGTAAAAAATACAAGCACAGCAACCGGTTAAACATATTCCACTAGCTCAAACTAAGGCAGAAAATGAGATGATTACAGCTGGCTCCACATTGTTTCCATGGTTCAGAAGCCTGTGCCTGTGCCAGAAATGCCTCCACTTGCTCGTGCACAAGGAGCCAGGACAGTGCGCTTAGAGCACTGTGACAAGTGTGTTGACGCCTGGCCCCGCAGCTGGCGAGCATGACGCCAAGGTCAGTTGCTTAGCCACTCTCAGTCTGTAACAGCAGTAGATCCTTTCTATATCCACCTAACAGAGTTTCTTGTGAGAACCAAATACTATAATATCGCTAAGTGATTAATAAACTTACAGTATAACTGCTAACTACAGCCAAGTAGGCCACAATTTAATAGAGAAAAGGGAGAATAGTAGTGTTTTCTCTCTCCTTTCTTAATATTTCTCAATCTGTTCTTTGACTTCATGTTGAAATATATTAAATATGCTATTCCCCCGGGTTCAAATGCAAACTTAAAGTGGTATCCTATCATCCCAAATTGCAGTGCTTTGCTGACCCAAGGCGATGGATACGTTAAGGCAGCCTCCTAAAAATCTTGGCACAACCAACCAACCCGTAATGTCGACCGGTGGGACTCCAGAGCCACGAGATCCGCTGGCACTGCTTCTTCCTGACTCAGCTTGATTTCATAACCTTTCACCAAGAGCTCAGCATCCTGGATGCTACGCACTATAACATCAATCGTCTTCAGCCTGTGAGGATAAAATTGCCTTCATTAGCATCTACATTTTTAGAGCTGGGCTGCACACCTGCTGCAGGCTAGGTGGTTCACCAAACCTGAGGGCCCAAATCAATCTCACACTACTAGAGGATGGCAGGGATTCCTGAAAACAACACAGCACGATATGTGCTGCCAGTTCAAATCAATTCAAATCCAAGTGCGAGGCACTGGGGCCCAGAGGTGTGATGAACTAATGGGAGAAAAGACATGAGGCCAGAAATGCACTGTCAAGAGTCTAAGATCTGTTACTTCTCAAGGTGATGGGTGGGTTGAAGGAAGACCTTTAAGAAGACCTTTAAGGGCCAACATTTAGTTTGGCTGAAAACTTTTTATTCCTTAGTGTCCCTTCCTCTCTCCCCACCTCCACCTCAGAGATATCTAATCAGACACAAACGAAGTGTAAAAATCATCACCATGCTGTTAATAATCTCCCCATCTATGCTGACATTCGGTCATTGCAGCCCAAATAAACTAGCTCCATGTTACATGGAACTAAAATCAAGATCTTGTTATGTGTTCTTCAAGATCTTTAGTCTCTCTGGATTGTTATGAAACAATTCAGACACTTTGCTTTCTCCTCCCAGTGGAGAACCTTGCCCTTTGGACACACACCCTCACTTACTTATTCAGGTAGACAGTGGAAAGACTGTAAACACAGTCCATCTTCTCCACCAGCAGACTGAGCTCTGAACGCAGAGCTGGTACACTCGAACCAGATGGGGACTGATGGAGAAAGCTGTTGCATTTCACAGAAACGGCATCCAAGTCTGACCTCAGCTGCTGTAAATCCTCCTGGGTGTGCTGTTGGGAACAAGGCACACAACAAAGATGGCGACAGAACTGAACAAAGAAGTTCCTGTTTGCAAGAGCAAAATGTCGAAAACCACCAACGTACGCACAAATAGGAGGAGACTGGGTGAATAAACTCTGACTGGGCACTGAAGGGACAGCAGGAATCACACACAGTCTCTGAACAGAGCATGTGCACAGGAGACAGACCTCCAGGCTAAGACAGAAAGTCGTAGTATGAGTAATTGCTGCATTCCCGGTTTGTTTCTGTGGTAACATGCATGTAGCATGTAGTACTATGTTAGCAAGTTCTGAAACTACTACATGTACCTGCTAGAACTGAGCAATAAGTTAATTTTATTGTAAACATTGTGGTAAGAGCAGTTTGAAGCTGCTCCCAATGGCTAAATATGGGAAATTTTGAACATCAAAACAAAGACAGTAGCAACTGAATAAGAGTCTATAAAAAGAAGAATGGAGGATAAGAGGAAAACTATTTACTTTTAAGAGAATGGAAATTTTCTATCTAAAAATGACAGATTTGGAAAAATTATACCTTGGCAAGCCATAATAATAATGAATTCAGTCAAAAAAACAATAGAGGCTAAAACTAGTTGGCAGAAAGTCTGCTGTAAAACAGTGTATCTTCCCACAAAACACTTAGTAATTGCAAAGGAGAAAATAGCAACAAGTGATCAAAGTGGTCTGCAGCAACCAGACAAATCAATGTGTCAAGCCTTCTGCTCTGCTGTACCAAGGACACAGTATGACTTCAGTGGCATTCCTGCCCAAAATGTGTGTCCATATCTTATCACAAGAAGCCTTGGATAAACACAAATAGACAGTCTACAAGACAAATGGCCTGCACTTTTTAAATATGGTAGGGCCAAGAAAGATGATGAAAAATCAAGAAGCTGTCAGGTTAAAGGAACTTAAAGAGACATAGCAACTAAGTGCCACTGTGATAATGGATTGAATCGGTGTCAAAAATATTCTTTGGGGGCCATTATTAGGTGAACTGATAACATTTTAATGAGGTCTTTGATAACTATATCATATTAATGCTCACTTTGTGATTTAATTCATTGGTCTATGGTCATGTAAAGGATAACCATTTTTTGGAAATGGCTGGCATGTATTCTCAAGAAGGAAAAAATTATCATGTACACATATCCAGCAGAAAGTGATGAAACAAATGCAGAAAAATGTTAACATTTGAGGATGCTCCCTGGTGGCACAACAAGTTAAAGCGCAGCACTGCAAGCTGGCTGCAGGTGCTCCAGTGCAAGTTCAATCCCTGGCTCCACTGGTGACCCACCTGATGCAGCAGACCTCTCCTTACATGCCTGCTGCTCCCCTCATTAGTGTATTTCATTGATCAGCCTGTTCTGCCCACCACTCTGTCTCTGGTGAATCTTCTCACCACCCCTGTACCTCAGGCTTGTATCCCAGTTCTGCATACATAAATAAATAAGTTTGTTTTTAAAAAAAGTTAACATTTGGGGAATCTAGGTAAAGGCTACCTTTGAATAAAAACTCTTCTGTATACAGAAACTATTTCAAAATAAAAAGCTTTCAAAACCTTAAAATTTTTAGCAACAAGGTATTTACCTTTATTTCTTAGTTTGTTTTATTTTGCATGGAAAAACAGATTTTGGATGACTCCAAAGAAGTAAAAAAAGCTTCAAGTTGGCAATTACAGATAAGATATACCTCAAGCCAGCATATTAGATCTTTCCCCACCACTGAGGGAGCTCTCTTGTCCTCATCACCAGGCTTAGAAATAACTGAGGGAGGTGAAAAAATTATTCCTTCTCATTACCATTCCTTTCTAGTTCCTTTAAGTTCACCAATCAACTCTAACAATCTTCACAGAGCTCTTTTACACCATCCCAAGTAGAAATGTTCTAGTAACACATGAAGTTCCTACAGTAATAGCTGCTTTGAAATCTGGAAATACAACAGGTACTATCTATGGCACCTTATACTGAGTTTTCTCACTGGGACTTCAATCTTTTCAACTACATTATAATCAAAAGCAAGGACTCAGGCTTAACTTTCTTTTGTAGCCTATGAGCACTTAATAAAGCAATTAATAATCACTGCTTTTAGTTCAAGAACATGATCCCACATTTTTCCAGCTTGTACTTTTCCAGCATTGTTCATTGTATGTACTCATCCCTTAATTTTCAAAACAATTCTGTGACTCACATCACAACTTTATAAGAGAGGAAACGAAAACTGAAAGTCACAGAAAGAGTGTACAACAGAGTCCACAGTGGAGCTGGGTCTACTTATTTTTCTGAATCCTGAGACTAATGGTAACATGCCACAGAAAATAACATATACACATAACAGAGAGCAGCATCTCTACTAAGCAGTCTTGAAATGTGCAGACCAAATTCAGCGTTTGGTCTGTTTGTCCCCCCAACCATATAGGAGACTCATCAACTTCCAGCAGTATGCTAGGAGAAGAGTTAATGTCTTCTCCATTTACAGGATTCAGGGAAGAACGCTCCAGTAGGAATGCCATGAATTTATTACCTTATTCCTTAGCATCCATACGCTCTCGCTATCCAATTTAGTTTCCGCAAATATTTACTCTGCAACCAGCACCCACCTTGCTCCCCAGGCTTACCTCTTGCTCTGCAATCCTCAGTGCACTGTCCTGCCGAGCATCCTGGTCAGTCCTAGAACTGGCTGTGGACTGAATTCGTTTGACCAGCCTCTGCTCACATTCCTCCAGGCGCAGCCGGATGTTCTTTAGCTCTGAAATGTACAGCTTGGCCACAGTTTCTTCTTTATCCTCTGTGGATGCACAAACACAGTAGACCATAAAGCATAACAACAAAACCCAGCAAATGTGGGAACAAGAGTTTCAACTTCAGACAGTGTTCCAGACTGGTTCTACAGACCTGAGAGCCCATGACTGGAAACCCTGACATTAAATGGGGAATTTATTGCCTGACTCCAAATTCTCTGCATTATATACTGATCTTTAGGGACCCAAGCAAGTTATTTCCACATGAAAATGGGATCTGTTGACTAGCAAAATTGACCAAAATATGGTCTCTTTATCCAGAATATGACTTTGAGAATTCATCTCAATACATCTTTGCCTCGCTCAAGTTTTTAGCAATTCAAATGGTAAAGAGCAATTCACCACTTTAATTTAAAAGAAGAGTCTAGGAACACCCTTCTGAGTTCTTGTTCCTTCAGTTCTCTCCGTTTTCCCTAGGCACACACCATTCTCCATGGACTTCATCAGGTGCTGGAAGTGGGTTTTACAAGCCTCCACCTCCTCTTCCAAGCGCAGTCGGTCAGTGACTGAGAAGAGCCCGGAGTCACGGCTGTCCTGCAGAAAGTCTTCATAGTGGGCCTGGAGGTTCTTCATAACTTGGTGGCACTCTTCTGGTGCTGAGGACCGAAGCTAGAGAGAGAATTTTCAGTAGAAATTTCAGTAGAATAGGAAATACAGTAACTTCTTCTCCTTTTTATTGAGAGTGAACATGTATACCAAACAGTGCATAACACCAACTAGAAACGTGGATTTTTAGTAAGTTGAACTTGTCCATGCAAACAGCATCAGATCAAGAACCAGAACATACTAGAGCCCCAAAAGCACCTTCTGTGCCTTCTTGGACATAATTCTTCGTAATGGTTGAGTCGCTTGCATTCTGTATGTAAGAGATGCTTATCCTGAACAGTGATAAGCATCCCTCTGCCAAGAAAGCCAAGCATGTTATCTATGTTCATCAGGAATTTCCTTAACAATTCAGGCTACTATTTCTAGTTTCTAAAGCCCTCAGGCTCCTAACCCTGAAACTGGTCACACTAGTGGGAAAAAGTTCTTCCTGAAAGAAGTCTGCCAGTAAGATGTGAGCCTGGAGTTAAGTTTTCACAATTACCTTGTCCAGGTTCCAGGTCTTTACAAGGTCAAGGTCCTTCCTCAAATAATTCCAGGAGATAAGGCTTTTGGTATTAATGTGTAGCTGATGCCAAAGGGCCATCACTTTCTGGTAAGACTGTTCCACCCTAGAAACAAAGAGAACCTGGTTTCAGTTTTTTTATAAGACCTGGAGATCCACGTTAACAGACCTCAAAGGTAAAAAATGTGATTGCCTTAGTAGAGCAAGCTTATATGCTGAGCAGAGAAAGGCAACAAGTCATATATTAACACTACATAAATTTCTAGAACTCAGTTATAGATCTTCAAACAATTGCTTCAGTATTATGCAAATCATGTCAGCATAACTCGGCAATCCTATAAATGTTACCTGAATATAATATGAGTATATTCAGGTATACATGAGAGGGGCAAATTCCCAGCAAAAGTAAAAACAGAATATAGTGGGGATAAAGTAACTCCATTTGGAATTGCTGAAAAACTATAATATCAACACCTGATTTGCTGTGTTCTACATAGGAAAGGAACTGAAATTGAAGGCGTAAGAGCATTTTATTCCTTAATTCAATCTCAACCTCTTATTAAGAGTTACAAACTCACAGATACAGAGACATATTCAACACACTCATTATCTTGAATTTCAAGCTGAAAAACTCAAGATATAAAGAATTAGATGGGAAACTAGTAGCCAGGACCTCAGTCAAATAAGACATTAAACCCTCTCCAAAAATCCCACTAAAAATTTCAGTAAAGTTGAAATTAAAAGTTGGGAATAGCTGGCTCTGGAAAGTACAACTCTAGGTTGAAGAAGGTAACTGCTAGTTTTTACTATAAGCTTTGTGGTAAAATAAGTTTAGCATAAAAACATGCACATGTTACTTTAATAAAGTACAAGTTGAAGAAAATTAAATGTCACGGCAAAAATCCATCATGTGAGAGTGAACTCTTTATAATCAAAAATAACCACTGAACTATCTTCACTGAACATAGCATTTAGCCTAAAAGGAGGACTTTCCCAAAATAAACTTGCGGTCACAGCACAGAGCCCTCCCTCCGTCCGTCCGTCCGTCCGTCCGTCCGTCCGTCCGCCCGCCCGGCGGAGGAACAGAGGTGGCAGCTCAGAGTGGGGCTGAGCGAAGGTACCTGCTGGCCATCTCAGTGGCGTCCTTATTAGGTGGGGGGATGAGAAAGCAGACCGACGGCACCATCGCCTCATTTCCTGTGGGGCTGATCACTTTCCATTTGGTCCTCTGTGAATTATCTTCAAGCACACACTCGTCATTCTTGCAAATGGTGATCTGAAAAGACAAATTCACAAGTCACTGCCAGCGGATAAACCATCCTTACCTGGTGCCTGTTCCCAACGCTACGCAATCCCTACGAAAAGTTTCACTCTGGAGATCTGTCATCACAGACTAAAAGTGCCCGACTGTGATAGAAGGATAAGAAATATAAAAACACAACACAGGAAAGGTTGTGACAGCAAATAAACCAAACCAGCAAGTGTTTGTTAAATGCCTGTATGTGTCAAAAAACTCAGTACATGAAAGTGATACGGCAAGACCTCCATCTCCAAGAGCAAGTCCTCTGCCCCCACAGCTACGGGGGCAAAACACAGAAGGGGGAGGGATAATCACAGCTTTTCTTCTGTGGGACTTCTACTCCTCCCTTCCTGTTCTCCCACCCAAATCCCTGAAAATGTCTAAGGGCTCTAAAATCATCTACACTTCCTCATGGGAGACAAGTAACTAACGTTAACATCCATATTTGTAGCCAGAAATACTGAGACACAGCAAAGTGCAGAAGGGCACCCATTCCTGTGCCGGACAAGTAATTATTTTGCTCTGTGTGTCTGGAATTGTGCTAGGTCACTGGACACACAGGTGGGAGGGTAGAAAGCTGACAGTGGCCTGTGCGCCACACTTTCTGAGGGGATATGGTTATGATCCCGGGTGACATGCACAGGTGACTAGGAAGTGTGTGAAAGTACATGACCCAGGCTTATAGAGTGGTTGAGAAAAGTTACTCAGGACCTTGGAGCCCTATCAATCGAAGACGTTCTGAACAGAAGTGGGAAACTGTCTGACTGAAAGAGGGGTGTGACAATTCTTTAAAATATCACTCTGGTGGCAGGACAAAGACTGCACTGAGTGGAGAGGCTGATGCAATGATACAAGTGAAACTTTCAGTGTAACGTAGGGGTAGCAGGGGACAGAAAGGATCATATCTAGAGGACATTCTTTTACAAGTAGTACTGGCTTGATAGCTACACTGACTATGGGAGATAAGAGGGGACTGGTCAAGGGCATCTCCCAGGCAAACGAGGCACCGTTTCTGCAAACACTTAGGCAGCTGGATGGATGATGACGCCAACCTCTGAGTTAGGGAGCAGGTCAAGACTGTACAGTTGCTCCTTTTCTTAATGATGGGAGAGATCTGAAGCATGTTTAAATTTTTTTTATATAATAGTTTATTTTTACATCATTTTGTACATTTTTTTTTTCATCTCAATTGTAATCCCCGCGGGTTTCCCATCACCGAGTCATCCGTGTGCCATCACCATAGTCCCATGTACTTCCCACCCATCCACCCCCGTTTTTGATCCCATTCCCCAAGCATGTTTAAATTTTACTTAAAAAGAAAACACCTACTATTTGCTCTTTCCTCATTAGCCTAACAATAGCTGAACTTTGCTCTTTTCCCCTTCCTTCCCTCTGGAGCCACAGGCACCACCTCTGCCTCCTCACCTCAATCTGCCGATAGTCACAGATGGCCTTCACGGAGATGGTGCTCTTCAGCACATGGTCAGGACTGCGTGGCTTTAGCTGAACTATGGTTTTTGATCTCCCAACAAGACTGGCAACTGAACTTTTGGACTGTATAAGCTGCTCCTTTTCATCCTACAAAATGAGGAGAAAGACAGAAAAGCATTAATGTTGTTACTTAGTGTGGCTAAGCCAACAAAGAAATCTGAGTGCTCCACTCCCTCAGAGAATGTCATTCTCAGTTAAGTAGGGATCCGTGGTGGAGCCATCTTAGAAACACAGGGAAACAGGAAAAGGAGTGGATGTTTTGGTTTCTACCAAGTGCTTCTGCACTCAAATTTTGCAGCTTTCTCCCTGTGTCCTTTTCAGTAAGCCATCAAGCCACATGCAACAAACAAACAGAAACAAAACAAAAAAGAACTTCCAGCTGCCAATACAGCTCACAAAGGACTTCCCCAAAGAAGATCCAGAGGACATGGAAGCCAAAAGCAATAATAATAACAACTGGGCTGCTGTTATTATTATAATTTATCACTGGTAGAAGCCAGTTTTTGCCTTCTGCTTAGAAGATAGAATTATGGTCTTTAAAATTATTATCTCCCAAGTTCTACTACAAGTATTTCACTTTCTTAAATTGAGTCTTGCTTTCTACATAAAGATTGTAGCTTTTCACCCAGCGATCTATACACCAGTGTTACTGGTGAAGGCATCATGGCAAAGGACATACCCGTTAGAGCCCTGCTGTGCCATTTTCGTGAATTTGATTGCTTTGAAGGAAGTACCATGAAAAATTGAAACTCCAGTCTCTGCACAACCAATTGCCTTAACAACTAAGGAACTTCTTGTCAACAAAATTGGTAGCAACCTACTACCAGTTCCATTAGAGGGTAAAAGATCGGTAACCTTTTATCTATTAACCTTTATCTGTTATCCAGGATATTTCAAGCCCATTTAAAGACATAAAGTTCCCAGAAGAGGGTTTTCTTAGGATGGAAGTAGATGTGATGAGGGTAAAGAGTTAATAATGTTAAGAAATGCCATTAAAGAATTGGGAATATGCAAGTAAAGAGAAAGAAATGCTTAAACAAACTACCTGTGCCTGTCCCCGGGAGCATGATTGGAAGAAATACAACTTTAACTTGTTAGTTAAGAAAGAGGAATGGAATCTACCAGGGAGACAGCCTCCCTGTTCCGTACTTGACAGCTGGTCTACCCATTTCACTTTCCTTGCAATAAAGATGTCAGTTTCTGTCTAACCCACAGCCAAACATCTCAAACTCCAGAGATCAGAGGCTCGGCGTAGTAAAAGTTCTGACAAGAACCGGAAGCCAGGACCGGTGCTCCCGAACCTGACGGGCAAGCGGAGGACAAGCTGAGGAGCAGACCCAGGTGACTCCACGCCCCGATGACGCCGCCAACCCGATGCCCCTGACCTGGAGAGGAGGGAACAGAGCAGCGACCCTCGAGAAGAGAAGGTAGGACAACAATTGCAGAGAAGTTACCCTAGGACAAGGAGGCACTCTGTGGGGAGGAGGAGATAATAAGCCACGGATTATTACGTTCCTCCTTCATATCTGAAATACTCGGAGAGAGACGCTCCAAGAAACATCTGACAAGCCAGGCTTTATCCTTCATTTCCATATTGATTAATTAACAGATTATGTGCCCCGGTGAAATACTAAACATAAACCCATTCACAGACTTACAGTAACTGGAAGCATAGTAAAAATTTAAAAATTAGTTAATGTCCACAAAAGCCCAAGTCTCACCCATGAAAAAAATCATACTGCTTTTGCTTCTCTTATTTGCAGTTTTCTACTGAAATGTGAGGATCCCCTAGATTCTCATATAGGAAAAGTATTACATACATATTTCCTTTTAATTTGAGGTGTAGCTTGAGCCCTGTTTCGCCAATTCTGTAATATACATTTAGTAAGTAAGTAGTCCTACTGCTGATTTTATTACCAGCACTCCTGAAGGAATAATTCACTGGAGAAAATGGATGTAAAATTGATTTGGATTAAATAGTAGATATAAAACTATTTTTAATTAATATTGCTACATAAATAACTGGACAAATAGCATATCTAAATAAAACCCTCTTTGTATGAGAGAGTAAAAAAGAATTTAGTGCCAGCTTATTCCCTTCAGGCCTATTTTTCATGCTTTATCCCCCACTTTTGGCTTTGACTGTTGAATTAAAATAGGGTCACGAAGAACGCACCATGAGCACTAAGGGCTTTTACTTCAATAACAAACCCAAAGGCATCTTACTGGCTGCTGCTTTCAGGAAAGAAAGGGGAAGACAGAACAAACTAATTAAACTCTACTTAAATATTAGCCAAGCTTTACATTTACAACCCTCTGCCCTGGAGTTTTCAAGGATATAGAGAGCAGCAGCTGGTACGGTTTACTCTGTTCTCAGAGGTATCAGCCCACCGAAGCAACACCCACCATGGAGTCCTGGAGCAGGTCCTCGAGGCGGGACAAGCTGGTGCTGTGGTCGCAGGAATATTTTCGTTTGATGGAGTCTTGCAGGTTCCTCAAGAATGACTCCAGGTCACGAGCATCGCTGAAAAACTGCGGGGATTGAATGGAAGCCAAGGTGTTAGCTGAGCAGAGTAAGCTGGGCGCACACATGTCACCCCTTGCCTGATGAAACACGGCATTCCCCTCCTGCTCTCTGATGCACGCTCACACTCACACACATACACACAAACACACCTGAAAGTAAGCAGTGTTCTCTTTCACGTGCTGCTCAACACATAAGCACAGCTGCTTCATCCACTGCAGCTGGGACTGGACGGCTGCGCTGTAAGCCTGCAACACGAAGGGCGTAACAAGTCAATTCACCGTGCACAGACTCGGTGTGTATGTGCAGGACTCTCTTCCAAGTGGTGCTAATTCCCACACAACTCTGCCAATAACAGAGAGGCCAAAAGAAGGCACACAGAGCTGTGTGAGTGGCTTCTGCTCCATGCTTCCCATGAGAAGGCTTGTCTTTTATCTAACATGTTTTCTTTAAAAGGGGGTTATATAGAAATGCCTCTCCCACACTGAGTTGCAAGTGAATGATCTGTCTAGCAAAACACAGACATAAATAAAGCTCTCCTGGATTACTCCATGCTGTCTCTTCTCTGGGCAAAGGCAGGATCTGCGTGGATAATGATTTGACAAAGATATGGTGCAAGTCACTTTCCCCATGAAGTCAGGAGTGACGATTCCTGTCTCCCCTAGTATTCTCCTTAGGCTCTCAAAAGTGTTGTAGTCTTTCAGGAAAGAACCAAAGATCCTGGCACTTGCTCCCGTCTTCCCACAGAGCAGAGTCTATGATTTCAATGTTTTGCTAAGAGCATCCTCTAAGCACCTGGCTCACCTTGTCGAGTCACACCTTGTTGAGTGACTTACCTCCACTGTCTGCTTGGCTGGGTGATTCTCAAGGGACAGCAGTTCTGCTGTATCTTGCAGAGACCGAAACACATCCTGTTTCTCCTCCAGTTCCATTGTCAACTCCTGAAAATTGAACTCAATTTTATGCAGGAAGTACTGCTAAGGGAGAAGGAGCCATAAAGAAAAAACTGTCGCCTGCTCTACTTTTATTTAAAGGCACCTACAACCGAGTTCGTACCAAGTAAGATGTTACAGAATACGCCAAAGGGCAGAGAAGGGCAAAAATGCTAAAATTCCTGGAGAACGGCTCACAAAGGACACGGGACCCGTGCCAGGCTTCAGAGAGGGTGCACAGGATAAGCACTGGAGGCAGAGAAAGGAGCCGCCTTGGCCAGAGAGGCTAGTGTGGTATGGGGCCCCGCAGTCCCTGACAGGCCGGCAGGCCCATTTCACTACTGGCTGCGTGGTTCAGACTATTCCCTCAGCCTGCAATGCCTCCACTGGCACTAAGTTCTATTAATACTACAGGACCTACTTTAGAGGCCAGCTCGTCTGCGAGGCTGGCAAGATCCTTACTATCCTTACTATTTGACCCCTTCTCCTTGATGCTCTCTGAGTAATTTCTTTACATTTCTATCAGAGTTTAATTTCCACCCTCACAAGACTACTGCCTTATACTATTTATTTTTTCATCCTTACTTCATAAGAATCATATTCCATCCTCTAATCAAGAGAAGATTTTACACTTTTAATCACTCCAAATTAATGGAACTAAAGTATCTAAAGCATCAGGTTAGAAAAGAAAAAAAAGTCCTATTTGGACAGAGTTTTAAAAAATTCTCTGGGAGGGCCCTCCCTGGTGACATAGCAGGTTAAAGTGCAGCACTGCAAGTGAGCCACAGCTACTTCAGTGAGAGTTCAACACCCCGCCCCAGAGGTGACCCACATGGCACAGCAGAGCTCTCCTGACCTGCCTGCCACTCCCCTCAGCGGGTATTTCATCAGTTTGCCTGTTCTGCTCCTTACTCTGCTCTGGTGACTCCTCTAACTGCCCCTGCACCTCTGGCCTGTACCCCAGTTCTGTGTGCATAGATAAATCAATCTTTAAAAAAAATTCTCTGGGATGTGGAAATACTAAAAAATAACCCTACTTACACATATCTTTCATTGGGAAAGAATAAAGAGTATTATATCATTATCTAATGCTAACTTAACTTTCCATTTTATAAATGAAGGTTTTGACAAAAACTAAGTATTCAACCAAAAGAATCAATTCAACCAAAAGTGTGCCCCAGTCAAACACACAACAAACCCTACACTAAGCGTTTTGCCACACTAGCTTCTTAATCTTTAACATAACTCTTTGGGTTACCACTGTCCCCTTTTACAGAGGTCCAGAGAGATTAAATGACTTGCCCAAGGACAGAAAGCAGGAAATGGAGGAACAAGAATCTGTATCTGCATATACTGCATCCCGCAGCCTGGACTCTCAGCCGCAGAGCTACACTGCCTCAGAGAGGACTCAGCTGCAAGCTGCTCCTCTTCACCCAAGAAATGCCTTTCTCAGTATGTGAATAAACGCACTCTAGGGCTCAATGTCCCCTTGCTCCATATACACTTCTCACACACACAGGTGCATGAAGCAAAAACCGTCTCTCCCTAGCAGCACGCAGCTCCAGAAATCCAAGCCCACCCGCCCCTCGTCCCCTCCATGCCATCACACTGCAGAGACAGACTCACAGAGAAGTAATTTCTTTTGGCTGAGATATTAGGGTTGTTGTCACTCCAGTCATAGGCCAGTTCCTCCTCCTCCTTCTCATTCAACCAGATCAACTCAGCTGTAGCTCTGGAGACAAATTTATGCAAGCTCTGAAGGTGCCTCATCCGGAAGCTGGAAGTCTCCTAGGCAAAGAAGAGTAACAGGGTTAGACTATCTTTCATCTGTGTAGCACTGGACATCAAAGCGAAGAGTGAGGCAGGGAATAAATAGGGTCGCGCTTTGATCTCTGGGTGTTTCTCCATGGACTCAAATCTAGTACACATCTTGTAACAGACTCCCAGAGCCACTGTCAGTCCTAGTTGAAATTAGAACACCCCAAGCCTCTGTAGGGTTCCCTGGATAAAGAATGATTCTGGGCTTGTGTTACTCCACACAGTCTTCAAAGACGGGAATGAAGGACGATGGATAGAAAAAGGAATCCCTGTTCCTTCTTAATCTCCAGCTTTTAGTATTAATTTTTCAAAGCATATAAAGCTGCTACTTTGGTAAATCAACATAGTTCAGATAAACTAGGCTTACTCAAAACTTTCTGTGAGTGACTTCTGACGCACCAGAAAATTGGAGGAAATGCCATAATAAGAACATAATAAGAACAATTGCACAGTACATGGCATAAACAGAAAAACTAAATAGGGTCAACCATACTCCTTCTGATATACAGCAGAAAGTTGTTTGAGGGGAGCCATGTTTGCCATGAATAGAACAAAAAGAATTAGTTAAAACTCACCTTCAGTTTACAATACTGTGTCTCCAGCTTTCCAAGAGTTTCAACATAACTAGTATGGAAATTTTGAGACATTTTTCCCTGATAAGAAAGGAATGAGAAAAAAAAAATTAGAAAAACTATATCTATCTATCTATCTATCTATCTATCTATCTATCTATCTATCTATCTATCTATCTATCTATCTATCTATCTATAGGATGGATTTATCTATGTGAACATTTTACCTGCATACATATTGGGACTAGTTACTCTGCGAAAACAGAAGCTTAGACATCAAATCTCTGGGTCTGACTTTATAGCTTGAAACAAAACTGAGTGAGGATCCATTAAACAGGGTTTATACAGCTGACAGGCCTCAATACAGTAATTCTGGGAAGCTCTAAATAGAAACTATGCCTGATGATTCCCCAACCACTCAACTGCTTTTACAAAGAGCAGACTTTAAATTAAAAATGGGGAGGCAGAACGCATGAGGAAGAGAAGCTCATGAGCAGGTCATTTCTCTATTACGTGCAGAAGGCAAAGTGGAAGAGCATGAATTTTTGGAGGGGCCCTGAGTTGTGAAACTACACCCCCTACTTATTAATTCTCACCTTAGCTTTCAGTATCATTTTTCTCATAAAAATACTTTCCTCACAAGATTATTTCACAGGGCAAGAGGGACACTGTGTGTGAAAAGGGATCTGTGTCAAGTGGCTACAAGAACGTGGCTGCCATTCTTCCCCGGAGCCCCTCATCCATAGAGACAGCCACACGCGTGGGCTGGCCACCACACACCTCGTAGAGCCTGGCCTCCTTGACGCTGGAAGCCAGTGCCTCCACACTGGCGTGGACGTGCTGCTGTGTGTCCAGCTGCAGCTCCACACTGGGCAGGTCACTGCCCCACTCGGCTCGCTCTAGTTTCATCTACAAATGGAAAAGTGCATTTAAGAATTTACTGCTGAGTTGGCAAAAAAAAAAAAAGAAAAGAAAAAAGAAACTGAGCAGGATCAATGTTTGAACCAGGGGTGTGAGGTTAAGGACTGAGCAAAAGGGCATTTCAACCATCTCCATCACAGAAGCAGAATAAACCCTACCAACTGCAGCAGCAGAGACAAACTTTTGCTGCTGCTTTGTGGGGATAACTCCTGATCTGACCAGCCAGGATGGTGTTTCCACAGACTGAAGGTGCTTGACTTTACAGTTCACCCTTTGAGGAGTCTCTTCATTTCACAAGCAGAATGGACATGTGAAAGGAATATCTGAAAATATTAAACATCATCCATGGCACTGACTACTGGCCAATAGACGACAACTTTAAAATAGTGTCTTTGGATGTTTGTACTTATTGGCATATGGGAAATCCGTTACTGGGGGGTGAAAGTTTTAATACCAAATAAAAGGTAAGAAGGCTGAGGAGGATGATCTTGACCTTGAACCATTAATTATCCTAGAAAACATGAAAGTAGTGCCTGCGTTGAACTACGAACACAGCAGCCTCACTTCTAGCCCTCACAGCTACGACCAACAACGAAGAGTGAAGAGTTGGCCCTCCGGCAGCCTTTCTTCCCTCCTGGCCTGTACGCAAGCAGCCTCTTGTCTTTTCCTGTTCCTAATAAAACTGTCCTTTTTAAATGTTCTTTAAAAAAGAAAAGAATTGACTCATCAGCCAATAAAGGAATTTCAGAAAATACAGCTAAGATTTGTTGCAATTTCTCTCCTTGCTCCACTAAGAATGCAGTTTGCTGAAGGCGCGAGTTCTCAAAGGGCTTCAAATTAGGGAGCCTCAGCTAGTCAGTGTGAGATTTTTGAGGATATGAGGTGACCCCAGCTTGTTTAACATTCAGAAACGGGGCATGGCTCCCTAGCAGCATGAGTAATTAAGAGGACCTATGAGAGGGGCAGACTGGCTGGGTCTCGCTGGACGGCCTGCTGGAGCCTGAGTCATGGGGCGGCACCAGCGCCTGGAGCGCACACCCACCTGCATCTCTTCCACCCAGGACAGCAGCTCATACACAAATCGGAGGTTGCCTTCATCTTCAGAAGAAGAGATAGATACAAGTTCAGCCCGAGTCATGGGCTTTCGGAACCAGGAGGTAGAGGAAGAATGGGTTCCCTTGGTCAAAGGTTCTGCTTTCAAGTGAGTAGTGGTTAAGGTAGAGGGTGGTGCCAGTTCCAGTGAAGTGAAATGGCCCTTCCGATACAGGTTCGTGCACTCCAGACGCAGGGTGACCAGTTCATCCTGCAGGCGCATGACTCTGAAATGGAGGAGAGATTCAAATCTGCATCGCACTTTTTAAGATATAAAATCTTCCCTATCCATTTGACAAGGGTGAGGTAAAAATAAAAATGAGATCATATCCGAAGTGTTTTGAAAAAGAAAGTGTTATATGAATGCAAGGTGATATTAACATCTTCATCATTCAGAGTTGTCTTTGAGTGAAATGCTGAACTACAATGTTACTGGAGGGGATGTGGGGAACAACCCAACACCTGTTTATGAGACTTCTGTATGGCATAATAGAACAACGGATTAGGGGTCAAAAGACAAGGGTCTCAGCCTGGGTTCTGTACAAACTATGCGACTATGACAACCTCATTCCCTCTGAGGGTTCTGGGTCCCTCCTCTATGAAACGGCACGCTGGGTCACCAGAAATTCTAAACCAGATGCGGGACCACACCCTGGCTGGTCACTCTAAAGTAAGCAAGGGTGCGATAAGGTACCTCCGTGAGCAGGCATGCCTACAGCGACAGAGAGGCAGGGCCTGCAATTAGGGACATGTCTTCCAACACAAGAATTCTTACCTCCCCACCACCCCCACCCCATACCTAGAGTAGCCCCACTGCAACAGCATCTGCTAAGATCCAAGTTACAAGATTGGTGACGGATTCCTAATGAAAGGCTCCGAAGTAAGCTGACTCCGTTTTGAGTCCCGGGCTCCTCACCTGAAAGCCAGCTCCTCCAGCTGGTAGTAATTCTCATCCCGCAGGATCTGCAGGTCCACCTGCAGCTGCCTGATGAGACCTTCACACTCCTGAATGTACATGACGACGTCTGACTCACACTGCACTGGCTGCCCGGATTCCAGGTGAGCAGCGTCCTAAGAGAGAAAGGGAGAGTCAGAGCAGGAGGACTCTGCGGCTCCTGTCCTCCAGGGCCCGCCACAGGGCCAGGAGCAAGGAAGTGACACACTGGTCCCCCAGCTGTTAACTTCAACCACTAGAGCACATGGCAAGACGTGGAAAACAGGTGACAGAAGAAGTGAGACAGTCAGAGGACTCACAGCCTGCAGTGTATTCTTAGCTAGTGTCAGTTTTTCTTCACAGTTCAAAGCACCGTTCTGGATTTTATTTGCAATCTGTAGCAGCAGTTCCAGCCTGAAGAAAGATAAAATCCATAGTCAGGACAGGACTCCCAGAGGCCCAGTAGAGCACACGAGACCCTCCGGTTCAAGACCCACCTCTCCACTGCGGGTCGGAGGGATTTCTCCCTCTCCAGCATCTCGATGATAAGCTTCCCCCACTCTTCTTCTACATCATTAGGATGATAACCCTGAGGCAGTTTAATTCGGCCAAATTCAATCCACACCTATGAAGCCAGAGACACTCTTGGTAAAAAAGCACAGCCACGCCCCAGGCCCCGGGTTTATGGGTTCTCTGCACACAGCCTCTTGCTTCTCTTCCCAGGCCCTCAGCAGTGTTTCCTGTTCTCTAGTATGAAAAAAAACAACTGAATATTCAGAAGCACCTCGTCTTGAGGTGAGAACAGAAAAATCACCTCTAAAATACAGGGGCTACCTGTACTAAATCTTTTCATCCCAGCCACACTTTAAGGTTCTTTCAACAGCCCCTGCTGAGGAATGGTCAGATCCCATTTCTATGGCTTCTAGTTCTCTGGGAACCAAAATGTAAATGGAAGTCTCTTTCCTTTTCTTTTCGCCTCAGAAAAAGAAACTATTTCCCTCTGAGAAACAGGAAAAGGCGAATGTCTGAACAAATGTCTGCCGTTTTTTTTTTTAAGAGACCCTTTGATATATACAGCTGGTTCATGCTGCCCCTTTACACAATTTTCAAGACCAGCCTGAGAGTGACACTGGGCTTGTGCCACCCTGAGAGTTCCGCTGTGAGTGCAGGCAGGGATGAGGACTCAAGGAACCTAAGAAAGAAGCAACACTGGAGCAAGCCAGCAGGGACACGCTGTCTTACCTCTAACAATTTATACAACTCCTCAATTCTTCCTTTTTCTCTCTCCTTGGCCAGAATTTCTGTTTCTTTGAAGTGTATATATTGGTTATAAAGTGCCTGAAAAATTAACATCTGGTAAGTGAATGAATGGATGCACGCTACCTGCTCCAATTTTCCATATCATCTCAGCCAGAAGCCAGCAATAAGTTCTGAGACTTACATCCTAGAATACATTCATAAAAACAAACCATTTAAACCATGACTTTACCTTTAGTTCAACGGGGTTCTGGGGAAAAGATTTATCTGACATCAGTATTGTATGCTGTTTGATCCAGGGGATGAGGGAATCCACTCGGCTTTGGTATTCTTGCCACCTGGAGTCTACTTCCTATTGCCAAAAAGTAGAGATCGCATGCCTTTGATTAGCAGTGTGCAAAACAAGCGCCGGGAAAGCGGCACAGGCCAGCTCAGACCACACCAGGCATCTTCCCTCTAATTGCTGACAGCTGCTCAGTTTAACACTCAGTCCCAGTTTCAAAGCTCCTCAAGGGCTCTCATGGAGGGTTCAATTTCCTGACTCATAGAACAGTCTACAGTGGACGCTACGAAAGTAGCCACATCTAGCCTCACTCCCAGGGGCCAAGGGCTAAGACCGTGTACATAAGGCGACGTGGATTTGCTCTGCTCTGCACAACAGTGCTCCATCTACAGCGATGTTTCAACAACAGGGCCTGACCATACACTCCACCCAAACAAATCAGTGTGCAGGTATTTTATGAAAGTGTTCTTTTACCGTAGCACTGATCCCTTCTCCACCCTCGGGGACTTTAGGGAAGGCATCATAAATTGAAGACACATAAGTGATTACAGACTTTTCATCTGGAGATGGCACATCCACATCTGAGAGAGAAAGGGTACAAAATCTCTTAGATCAAAGGGGCCAGACGGAGGAAGCATGGTGACTACAGGCCAGATGTACTCAACTGTGGTCGACTCTCACCTTCAGCATCCAGCAACCGGGTGACCCCCAGTCTTTCAGCCACTTCGAAAGCCTGTTCCAGATTTTCTCGGTTACTTTGGATTTGTACCCTTTCCATATCTACCAGATCAGGTCTGTAAAAGCCCAACAAGACACATGAAAGGCCACCATCTGCATGTCACATGAGGGTCCCCAGAGTAAACCATCAAGCACCCAGAGCGGGAAACCACTGAGTGAGTTAAAGGAGGAGGTCTGCAAGGTTATAAATCCCACTTTTCACAAACGAGGTGCGTACTGGCCCCAGATTCTAAACTTACATAATAACAGTTTGTTAGATTTCACGGGAAAACTTCTTAAACATGCCGAATGAGTGAAAATGTGTTTATCACCAGGAAGACGACAACCTTGTTTTTGTTGTTGTTATTCAAAACTCCCATCTTCCTCGCTGGTCTCCCTCCAGTCACCCACTCACTGCTCCTCAACCACTCCAAGCAAGTTCGCATTTCAGTTCTTATTATTTCCTCCAAATGAAACATGTAGAGGCCTGCACGGCTGGCTCACTGCCCCCTAGAGAGGCCAGGGCCATCCACCTCGCCCAAAGCCCAGCTCTGCTGCACTCCCTCCCTCGCCACCCCACCAGGGTATGATGGCACAGCTTTATCCATCGCCCAGAAAGTGGACTGGCTCCAGGAGAGCAGCAACTTCTGCTACTTTATTCCCTGCTCTGTGTGCCCAGTGCCTAGAATAGCAAGAGTTCAATACATATTCCTCTTCTCAATGAATTTAATTAGAGCCTTGACTGCAGACTGGACAGAAAGGTAGCGTTACAACTAATCACAAACCAGTGATGAGGCAAAGCCCCTCAGGCATACTGAAATGCCACTGCACTTACCGGTATCTGTGAATCAGCGCATTAAACATCTTCCCATCGCTCCAGCAGGAGGAGAAGTTGGTGCATTTAATTCCTGTATAACCAGCTGTCACCTTCTGGGTCCACAGGAGCAGCTTCTCCTTGGCTGACATGTCTCCTGACTCTCCACTAATGTAGATGTCAGATATCTGCCAAAAGATGGGACACGGAATGGTTTAGTATAAATAAGACAAGGCCTTTCAACCGTCACTTTTTTGATGCAGTAAGCTCTCAGAAGAAGAGGGAGAGCTAAGTGCTTCAATCAACCCCAACACCTTCACTCTGGCTACCAAAGAGATGCACATTAAAACCCTAAGCCATCTTTTATTCACCTATCAAGTCACAAAAGTTTTGTTTTAAATAATATTATTCAGTGTTGCACAGACTGTCTAACACTGTTATTCTATGGGTACAGGTGAGAGTATAAATGACTTAACTTTCCTGGACGGCTATTTGAACCAGGAGTCTAAACATATACAAGATCAACATTATAGCAAAAAGCTAGAACTTAAACTCTAATAAAGGATTAACTATTTATATATATTATACTACCTACAGATGGTAGACTTCTCCTAGCATTTAAAAAGGTAGGTTTTAGGGCCCTCCCTTGTGGTGCAGCGGGTTAAAGCACTACACTAAGAAGCTTGAGTCACTTCCACATGAGTTCGATTCCCGCCTGCCCCGGAGGAGATCCACATGGCGCGGCAGACCTCTCCTGACCCGCCCGCGGCTCCCTTCAGCAGTGTACTTCATGATCTGCCTGTTCTGCTCCCCACTCTGTCCCAGGTGAATCCTCTCACCCTCCGCATCTCTGGCCTGTACCCCAGTTCTGTACGAATAAATAAAATAAATCTTAAAAAAAAAAAAAAGGTAGGTTTTAGACGATTTTCACGACAGGGATATGGTCACATCTTATAAAAAGGAAAATAATACGTCAATACTGATTTTTGTATGAGGTAAAAATATTCGAGTATATATAAAAATACAAATATATATGTATCTTGCACACAACATATTTAATATGACAGATGCATAAGTATGAAAGCATAAATATACCAAACTAGTAGTAAGTTGTCTCTATTGGTAGTTATAGGTAATGTCTGTGTATAGAAAATTTATTAAAGAAAAATATATTATAGAAAATAAATACATTTATAGAAAATATCATGTGTATTTTATAATAAATAAAAGGGAAGTTATTCTAAGAAAGCTCCCTAAATTTAGCACAGGACCTACTTTAGAGAGATGACAGAATGAGAAGAATGTTCAGGGCACTGATTCCACACAGACCTGGGTCTGAATCTCAACATCACCAACTCTAAGTCAGGCCTCAGTTATAACCTCTCTGGGAACAGTACTGACCTTTCCAGGATTGCTGTGATAACCAGTCAGATCATGTAGTAGAGTGCCCGGCCCAGAAACAGGGCTGTCTGTGCTCAACAAATAGGATCCCTATCTCCCTGTGTGGGAGCTGGTCTTCCTTCAGTTGCTGTCTGTCTGACTCCCACAGCACTGACAGTCTGTATTACCATTTAATTAAATGTTAGCATGTATCACTGGCTATTATTTCATTTGTTTGATCTTATCTCCTGAAGACTGTAGGTTTCCTAAGAGACAATCAGAACTGTAACGACTTGAGTAGTGGTCACTAGGCGGGCGCGCTCCCTGTACTGGACATGTCCAAGTGGATGCGGGGAGTTGGGCAAGGAGCCTCTCCAGCCCAGGGCTGTGCCCTCTGTCACCCACTCCACCCAGTGCTGCTCCACTCAGGTGGTGGCCAGGCAACATGCTTAATTAACAATCACTTGGTTTACAAATCAAATGAAAAATACACTTCGGAGGAAAACCCACTTTTAACAGCAAACTTAGCAAATTCAAAGCAAAATATACAATCACAAGTCAGGTTAACATTAGCAATGGCTGCCCCCCTGCAGTGGAACTACAGGCAAACACTTTTTCAAATTTTAAATAATGAGCACATTTCACTTTTACATAATGAAAACTATAAAATAATCTTTATCAAAAAGAAAAAGCATAAGCTTTTGTGCCAGAGAGACATGCATTTGAATGGAGGTATTTACTAGGAATGTGCCCTCAGGCAAATTACTGAAGTCTCTAGTAGCTATATTTATCATATTTAAAATAAAAGGATTTTTTCTCAGAGGGTCATCATAAGCAGCAAGGTGACATGAGTAGTCAGGACAGGCCTTTCCCCCACAGTAACAGAACAGTCTGTCCAGCACAACTGAGGGGCCAGGAAGGTGGGAGGGGAGAGCACCACATGCCAGTGGGGTCCCCACGGTCCCCATCAGAAGCAGCACCTAGAAACTAGAGCCTCTCTGGAGGTAAGTAAGGGGGTGCAATTAACATTAAGGTGCCTCCAAGTCTCTGAATACTAGACACAGAAACTCAACTCGTGATAAGTGTAATGAAACATTAGCAAGAGTTACTTTATAACCAGATTATTTATAATCAGATAAACATTAATGCTTTATTGAGTATGAAAGAAAGTTACAGCCTCATAAATCTTACTAAGAAAAACTATGAGACAAAAAGTATTAAGTCTACAGAGATGAACAAGAGCTGCCTGTAAGAGAGACTGAGGATAAATATGGAGTCCAATTAGCAGATTCAAGAAAATTTTCATCCCTTTGACAGGGACAGATGCATTTCTAGACATGGATTCGGGCTACCAAACTTTGACAATGCTACCTGGTAAAGGTCACCCCACAAAGCCATCCTTCACCCACCACTCCTCTGCTCTGGCTCCACGGTCACCTGACATTCTTCAGATGATCAGCTGTCTCCCAAAGAGATATTGTAAAGGAACAACATGCACTGAGTGGTCAATTCAATACCACCTGGCAGTTATAATCCATATTGTAAATTAATTTGTATCACTCAATCTCTAGCACATGTTATCAGCGAGTCAATCCTTTAAAACTCAATCAACTCCAAGCACACGAAAACACAAGGCGCTACCTATAAACTCGGAGGCTGAGGCCCAAACAATGCACCCCAGTGCCCAAGCCCTCAGTCTGTGAATCAGGTTAAACAGCGCTGCCCTTGCACCCGTTCTATCCCAGCTCCATTTCTGGTGACTTATTCCAGTGGCCTCCCAGTGCTGATATGTCCAATACTTCCACTGTTGTTACTACACATACAAAATGGGAAAAGAAATTGGACTGCTGAAGTGAAAAGGACAGAGCCTGAATAAGCAAAATGAAACCTGAGTATCTGAGTTCTTCACCTACAGAAGAAATTCTGATTGAGTTCCATGTTCAGAACATCCACAGTCAATGTGATAGGGTTGGCCAGTATCTTTGGATACAGCACTGAAACAGTTTCAGGGGAAGCTTTACTTTCAATTTTCCACATAGTTGTAATGAGACCTGGACGTGTTCGGTTCCTTCAGAAAAAGGGAAAATGCCCTCTTAGGATCAGGGTCCTGCCTAGACTGTGAACGGGGTGAGAAAAATGGGATTATTGTCACATCCATCTCAGTAGTTCAGTTGGTTTTTGTCCATCTCTTGACAAATGCACAATTATACTCAACACTTTAAGTTAGAAGATGATATTTCCAAAACTAAATGAAATGTTCTTAGTTTTTGGTCTCTCATTTTTGTTTAAACAATTATAAGAGTTGGTATCTATAAAAATTGATGTCTGTTGAATTAGTAGGTGGTGACAGCAAATTCATTCATCCGTTTTTATGAACTGACTTTAATATCACTGATAGCCCAGTAAGAGCCCAACAAGAGAGATTTTATTAAAGGGCAAATATAAAGCTATTCCTAAAGGTGAGTTTCTAGGAAAAAACAAAACAAAACAAAAACAAAAAAACAACCTTACTTTATATGTAGCTATATGTAGTAAATTATATGAAACTTAACATAATTCAAGGTCCAAAGAGAATGGCAATGATGCAGCAAAATGAAATATGGGCTTGAATGATTTATACACACACACACATTTCTCCTAAAGAAGCAAGATCAAAGCTCATGCTGTAGAACAAAGACAAAGAAGAGAATTCCAAATAGGAAGTAGGTGTAAACAAAACTGGAAGTTGAAATAAGCTGAAACAGCAATAAGAAGAGTTTTGGCGTCATGTTAAGACAGAACTAATGCAGGAGAAAAGCCCAGACAGATCAGGGAGGGGCTGGAATACCATGCTGAGGAGTTCAGCCCCAAGTCTGCAGGTCTCAAGGCATGAGCAAATAGATACTTGAGTCTCATGTCCTGAAGTTTCTACCTGACCTTACCCTACCACAGAAGGCATCAGACTTTGAAACTTGCATTCAGGAAGCAGGTGAGTGCACAGGGAAGCTCATCAGAAATGCTTGGCTAGAGGCATCCACTGCTCATTACCAACTTCAGAAACAGGTAAAGGTCAGGGTGCCCCTTTCATATTCAGACTCAGAGTCCTCAAGTCTCCCTAGGGAATACAGCTAAGATGGGAATCCTAGGTCATCTGAGGGGCATTTTTTCTAATCTAAATAAGGGAGACTTTTCAATCTAAATTTTGTCAAACTGCTTATACTTCCACCCACAGGGCATTGAAGAGGTTTTCCCACCATTCTACGTGCTCGCCTACATTTTTATGTACTTTCAGATTTTTTTATTTTCTGCCAATCTGATGGGTGTAAAGTGGTATTTTATTGTTTTACCTGCATCTCTGACTGCTAGCAGAAAAGCTCGTATGTAAAACACCGGGTTTCTCTTGTGAACTGTCTATTTCCAGATATTCCCTATCCTTCTCCTAGGGTGTCTACTTTCTCTTGCTTACTTGTAGAACTTCTCAAAGAACATTGATAGCTAATAATTATTGTTTTACTTGTATTAACTTAGTATAAATTAATATAGAATATATACTATTCTTTTCCTCAATTTACAAAAGAGGAAACTGCCCAGAGAAGTTAAGTCACTTGCCCCAAGGCAGACTTTTTGTTTTTTAAACATTTATTTACGCATACAGAGCTGGGATATAGGCCAGAGGTGCAGGAACAGTGAGAGGATTCACCAGAGACAGAGTGGGGAGCAGAACAGGTCGACTAACATAGTTCACTGCTGAGGGGAACAGTGGGTGGGGCAGGAGAAATCTGCTGGGTCAGCTCCTGGGCGGGGATCAAACTCATGCTGAAGTGGCTTT